GTCACGAGTTAATGTCCAAGGTTTGTCTGCTAAACTCGCTAGAACTCTATGAGCTAGTTATGACACATACATTATTCTAAGTGGTGACAAAACGTTTTATCGCAGCTGATTTGAAAGCAGGTATATCTTGGTCTGGGCACCCATCGGTTGGGGCTAAATGGTTTTAGATTCGTGAACAAGGATGCACAGGCAAGGATTCACGGCAAATAAAGGGATACATAGGATCGAAAGAAAACCGACCTTTTTCCCTCTGCCAGTAGGTGTTGCATTAGAAGAGGTGTAGCACACTGAACCCAAAACTTTTGACTTGGAAATCATTTCCTAGTAAATCGAAGTCCTATGATTGTCACTACTAATGTTTTCCAAATTAAGCGCGCGTCTTCCTCTACTTATTCGATTAGGCCTTCTTATGTACTTCGATTGGAAGGGATGATCAATGTTAATACTGAAATTTGTTCATTGGGGCTAACCTCTCGTCCCATTCATAGGTGCTCGCTTTGGACTTCAACGATACTGGCGAAGCCAAACGTTTTTCAGGATGCCAAATGTCCGTTTAACCCGCACCTGGGTGATTCTCTCAATACATTAGACTACCTGTATTCCATGAAACTCCGTTACCCCAGGTTTTCAACTTAATGTTACATCAAACGGAGAGAAAGACGTCCTGTCAATGTTTAACAATTCTATGGTATCGGTTTCACCCCCAACTTGTCAGCACACTGTACTCAATATGCGACCCCTGTGCGACCGGCAACGTATATTTCTACTGTGTGAGGTTGAACGCATCGATTGAGCACTCAGACATTTGTGCAGTACCAGAATTTCGGTGGACATGAGTGTATTGGCTAGATCCACAGGCAACATATCATCTGTCGATGGTCATTTCAGAATGGCTTCCACTTGCTTTTTATGGGCATGCTTGTGTTATCCTGGATATTTGACAGTCCCCCCACACCATCTTCTCCACTCGTCATCCCCATCACATTAGTTACGGCAAGCACTAAAAACAGCGCAACAACACTAGCATTTTAGTGAGCTCAAACTGTCTATGGTGTAGGTTGTATTAGTGTTAATTGCAACTGAGTCCAGTTGCATGTATCGATGATAAATATAAACCTATAACAAAACAACTCTCAAATCCTATGATAAAAGCTAGTCTTCACTGTCTAGGACATACAATTCGGCTTCTGGTGATGCCGTCTCACTTAGTGTATAAATGAGTCTTACATGATGAAGGTCCTGGATGTGGTATTTCGGATAATTCGTAAAGATGAAACCGTGACGATCACTCTTTGGGCTGTCACCAGAAATCGTCCGTTAAATACAAACCAAAAGTGAGTGGAGTCAAATGTATACAGTAAAGTCACGTCACTGGAGTTTACTGTACTTCTATCACGCTGTCCATCCTGTGAGAGGTGAGTATATCAATGTGTTACAGATAACTATCCATGAAAATTGAAGAGGACATTTCTACAAGTAGCTTTTGGTATAAGATTCAGGGATTCTGCTTCCGCTGCCCAATGGACAGAAAAATTCCACCTATGTGCAGCCCAGATATTTGGCCCTCGGGAAAATGGGCGACCACAAAAATACTTTGTCTGCTTCTAGCTAGCTGGTAAAACCAAATCTTCGTATTTGGTACGGTAACAATCTCTTTGGAGTAGCAGCCAATATAAGCGCTATTCAGTTGCAATGTGGAAGTTCTTTTGATCCCATCTAGCAAATCCACATTTTCCGGGTTGATTTGCCCTTTATTTTACTTGGACAACAAACGTACGATATAACCAGCAATTTTTGGATGCATGTGAGAATCACACATTTAATTGTTTGGCCAATATGCATTGGTCCCTTGCAAAACTTGTAAAATAACACAGTTGGTCTGGATCCTAAGCGTGGTTAGCTACCAATTTGTTCACCGTGAAAAATTAGCCAGTCATGTAATTTAAAACAACTTTTTGATATTTTTCCATTACAGATCCCATGTTTAGGTGTTCATATGCAAAGATTAGATATCAGCTTGTTGGTAAGCTTGCGTGCCAAACTTCAGTTTGTTAAAATGTACTCCAAAGAATTCACTTGGTTCATATGTTCTTGGGTTTATTACTCGTGTAAAATAAGTAGAATATTGAGGTAATCGCACACGTAGTATAAAGAAGTTCTTGTCAGAAAATGCTGCTTTTAAGAATGTCACAATCGATGGCAGCACGTGTGCTGTGCGTCTAGTTTTAGATCTCATGGACGGGATGTCTTGCTGAATCTTCCGTTATTATCCGCCTTGGTCAAATCTTTGTGCGTTCCCCAAGTGCATCTACGTCCTTGTATGCTACCCCAGTCACATTTACAATTTGGCACTGAATTAGTTTGAGGTGCCGAATGAGTCGAATATGTCCGTTTCAAATGATCCTTTCAACCACACTACCGATAGCTCTGAACAGTTTGAGTGTAAAGGATCTAAGAAGCACGAGAGCCCAAACGACAAAAAACGGAAATAAAGTAGAAAATATGGTAGGCAATTGAGTTTTGAAACGCGGGACTTATGCGAGTGAGGTTGCATGTTCGGTTGGGTGAGACATCTTCATCACTTATAAAAATGTCTCACGCACTCTTGATGTCAAGCGCACTGAAACGCCCAAGTCAGAGTGCAACTTCGTACAATCTAGCAACCAACTGTAAACATTTCCCGGGGTCCTTATTCCTAATAAAATCACTAACCAATTTCTCTGTTTTTTTTTCAGAGGTCCCAATTGAATTTTTGTCAAGCTCAGGTCAGAAATATGTGCCGATTGCGTGGGATTATTACAAGACTGTTCACGATGAGGTTGTGGACGCAGTACGTTTCTAGTCATATTGAGCTACTTGTTCCATTTGCTGCGTTTGGTAATTATTTCGGATCTTGTGTATTTTGCCCAAAAGATTCCCGTGTTTGCATTTCCAAGCGAAGGCAGTTTCCAACAATCTGCTTCCAGTTCTTATTGATGAGCATGTGGTAAAATACCATGCTTCTCCTAGATATCTTCAGACCAACTCTATTAGAGTTGACAGTTGATGGTTGGTTGAGTTGAAGAGCCATAATAGCGATAATCACCCTTCTTAACTGAGTATTCTAGTTCCAGCAGGGATGCATTGCGGCGGATGGCTAGCTGTTTTCGGTCAATGACCTGGCCTTGTGTGGGAACCTGTCCGAGACACAGAAGAGTTCATAACATTAAGAGGAGTATTCAAGCTTCCAAACAACGCTGACCAACTGTCAGTTGGTTTTCTAGGTTCGAGCATGAGGACCGCGTTAATAAAGAACGGGGAAAAATGCGCAAGAACGATGTCAATTTATCAATCGTCAGATTGAAACGCGCTTTTACTGCCTGTATGCTATAATTTTTTTCTAGAAATTTCATCGTAATACCATTGACAGAGTGGTTCCTGCGTGTTCTGTTTGTTCCTTCTCATTTTGGGCTAAACGTTTTTTCTTGGAGCATGTCTACGTGTCTCATCAATATTTGAGCAGAGTGACACAAGCCTGGAGACTGTAAAACACATGGAAGTTTGGCATGAGACCGTAGGATTACAAAAGTGAAGTTTATTAGCTTCTGTGCTCCTTATATAATGCACAATGAGAATAGCTTTAATAAAATTGGAGGAATTTCGCGGTGTTTCTTGGCGTTTCAGTATAGCCCGGAAGGCATGTCTACATTTATCGCACTCTGAAATTTCTTGAGACGCGAGGAAACTTTATGTAGTTTTGTTGACTCAAGACGGAAGAATGGGAACAAATTACTATAAGATGAGAAAGCATTGGCATCCAGACATATACATATATATTGACGACAAATATTGCGTTCAGTGTGACGCGGAGGACAGCGAATTAACGCTAATTCAGGGACCTGCGGTTTCGTTTTAAGCACGCAGACCAGACATTTGAAGACGGATGAATTCCTCAAACGAAGGACAGTGGTAAAATTAGGTCAATGTTGGTAATGATGGAAAAAATAATGTTCCTCCATATACATTGTGTTCTTAAGAATTAAAAAGTCCACTCACATGGGGAATGCATTCCACAATTTGATGTCATCTGCTGTCTTGAATTTGGTGTAAGCAAATCGCGGAGTGAAATCTTAACTTCAATGAAAACACGCTAGAAGATCGACACAACCGACTATATGGGTTTGTCATTTCATTCCCATTCCATCCTTTTATTCAGATTCTAAGCACATTGAAGAAGGTAGGAGTCGATAAGGCCGTTTGGAACTTGGTATCCGATGATTTTGAATCAGTTCCAGTAAACTGGAATATATCGTTCGACTTTGGGGTGATTAAGCAAATAACTGGAGAGGATAACCTGGAGAAACTCAAAGACATACTAGTACAAAAATTGAACGGAGTGGACCGCAGCTATACAATTCAAGTGGCAAAGAAAGGTTAGTAAACAATACATTTTTATTCTGGTTCTCTTCTTGACATTCAGCCTTCTTTTTTACTGTCTTTTGTGACTAACAAGGAGCATTGCAATGACAGCAAATATATAGATTCGTATAAGTCGTTTCCGCTATCGATGGTCTTCTGGTTCACAAATGTAAAATTTTCCGTATCCGCTGTGTGCTCATTGCACCCCTTGCAGTCGAGTATGTGATGAGGGAGCATATTGTTTGCCAACTAAAAAGGCCTCGTCCACTTGCTTGATGCACAATGGAAGTTAGTCTTGGTAATACGTCCAAAAGCACTCACATCCAAGAAGAGCATCAATCTCACGTGTGCAGCCATTCATCCAAGTTTGAGGCGTTGGCGTTCTTTTGATGGTGATGAAACACAATGTTGCATGAGGCATTTCGCGTGCATTTTTCTAACATTATAGTCCATGTGGTCAATGATTGAAACATTTGGTCATGTGAAGTACATTATTCGAACGCAATACACTCCTTCAGTGCAGATAACTAGGACTATAGTTCTGAACTTTTGTGCAACGATCCGAAAAATCCAATTCCTCAGATCCTGTTTTTCGCACTTTCGTCAAACTTTCTGGTATGTCACACCACCATGGTCCAAGCAAAACTAAGGCAATTGTGTAGCATAACTTATACCGGTAGGGAAACAATATTGCATTGGTGGGGCGATTCTGTTTCTTTTAACTCGTAATTCTCATGATTGGGTCACGCGCCCCGATGAGGATATACTTTGTGTGGTTGTCATGATAGACCAGGGCTAAATAAATTTCGAGATCGTAAGCGATTTTGGGCTCCTTATTCTTATAACTCTTCGCACATCTAAGTTTCAATGCACCGTGCGCTTCAACGGGTGCCCCCAAGTTCACTTGCACTGGTGTGTCGGAAAAACTATAACATTAAGGCGGCAACAGCGTCGCTTTCAATTGAAATTTCAAAACTCTGGTTTGGGTAATGCAGTAATGTGGTATTGTGGTTGATACTGACCGCACGACTCACGATGTGACAATCCGGAATGAATCTATGCACCTGGCTATACTCAACTAGTCTAGACCTTCATGCTGAACTGATCAGGAGCTAATTATCATGGGCATCCCTGCTTTATTAGGGTGGAATGAACTACTTTGAGCTTCGCCGTGGGGAATGATCATGTCCTTCCTATTCCATGGCTTCATCATTAATAACAGAGTTTTGGGAGTGAGCGATGTGTTTTACAAACAATGCGGTTACTGTGCCTTATTTGCACAAACAACCTGTGGTTTGGTGACCAGAAATATATAAATTCATTTCGGTCATTCAGTGATAAGCAATGAATCCTCACAAGACACAGGACAATTTTGTGTGAAACTGTTGCATCGTTTTCAGGAGTGGCTATATTCCAAAATTTTAGTAGTAGCGATAGGACTTATTTGCTTCGTTTCGTTAAATGACATTCGGTTTGATCCCTTTTTAAAAAGTGACTTTTTAGAAATAGGCGTTGCGCTTTGCAGTTGTTGAGAATACAGCATTAACATTTATTGAAAACACTCTGAAGTCCATGCAAAGGCCGTTTCACGTTAGCTTTTTCAATACTCCAATGAAATATGTCAATTATATGTAACATCTTTGGCATATGGGGTTAACTCAACCCACCATAGTTTCACATTAGTATTCAAAGATATATATTGCAAATATTTATTCCCCTCGTTCCTCTTTTGGTCAGATATCAAACTCACGTTTACCAACAAGGTTTGTGGTGTTCTGCTGATCAAACCGGAAGGTAAGTTTGAAAATTTTGCAGCCCTGTTTGTGGGTAAATAGTTATTTGAAGGATAGGAGGAGTTCATACTTAGTTCGTGTACGAAAAGGGATTGGTCACTATCAGGCAACAGTTGTACTTATCTGTGCCTAACCACTTAAACTCTTCTATCATCTCATGGAATCACACATGGGAAGAGGGTTAGATTATTGATATTCAGTTCAGCACTTGTTCTCGAGTTTGAGGCAGTGTTCAGCATTCAACTCTTGACAGTCTACTCTTACAACCTAAAACATCGGGAGGTAAGAACCGTCATTCTCTTCAACAGCAATTTCTTCTCCTAATTCCTTAGTACCTCTTTCCTGTTTCCATTACAGGCGCTGTTATAGAAACCATATCGGAAAAAGGTAACTCATCACTCAAACAATCAGTTAAACCGTGTCAGATTGACATGAATTGCTTGACTGGAGGATGACTGTAGCTTTGTTCTGTTTAAGTGCAAGCTAATCCCATTGCGGATCAGCACAACTGGCAAAACAGTCTATTTTGTATTTACTGCAAGAACGCCGCAGGTCGAACTGCCCCTGGAGATCCCTATGATAGGCACTGCTGCTGTTGCCAAAATGGATTAAGCAGATGTGCTGTGCTTTTCAGTTTATTGGCATAAACTAGCTTCAATTACATGACCAAATGTGGAATAAATTAGTTAGATCAACATCGATGACGAAAGCCGTAATCTATTCACATTCCAGATAGAATAATGAAGGCTCTTTCATCTGGAGGTAAGATATTGCCCCTGTCCTACAACCTCACAGCATTATCTGTCAAAGTTTCTACATGTGAAAGTTACAATGATTATTTCAGATTTTATACGGGTCAAGCCAGCTGATCACCTAGCTTTTCAAATGACAGTTATCACAAATTCTGATGGATACAAGATTATTCGCGTTGAAATTGGCCACTAATTTGTGTACACTTTGTTTCCAAACTACCAGATTCTCAACCGCCTGGTATCTCTGACGGTAGGTGCCATACATTTTTTTCTTATACCGTTCTTTGTTCTAGCACCGAATAATACAACTTTAGGTAGCCTGAACAGAATCCACTGAACGGTTCTATCTCAGTCACAAGTAATCGGGAACAAACTAAAAAAAGTAACCCGTCATTAAAAGTACAGTTTTCGGTCTCATCTTAATGAATAAATAAATTCTGGAAAACTTGATACATCATTTTTCGGAAGGAACGTCACTCTGATGTGTACCTTTAGACTTGCGAATAGGGAGGAAAAAACTGGTTCACTTTCATGCAGCTTGTGAACAGAGAACGTGTTATGATTTGTAGTCCGCCGGAAACGATGGAACTCCAGTTGTGAAGCACGTGTGGGATCAGTACATTTGGTCACCTTAGTCCTCCGAGTTAATAGCTATCTCATGTGAAGCTAACAGTAATGTAATCATAGAGCGCATGTTATGACAAAGGGCCTTCCTTTTAGTTAACTATACCTGGCAGGACAATCACATGAGTCACGCAAATTAGTCGGCCACATATAACATACATGAGGCTCATGTACTGATAATAAGATCCCGTTGTTGCTGTCCTCAGTGAAAGTCTTTTCTCTCTGTAAGTTGTTTCAGGTCGCGTGCACGCATTTTCATGCAAGACCATGCTTCCAGTAAGAACATAAGTTCTGAAGTTTCGGCGAGCCCTTTATATTATGGGAGATGCTTTTTACACCTAAATGCTTTCGCCGTTGCGTACGAGTGACAGTTTGAAAATCAGAGACCAAGTAAATGGGACTACAGAACTCATTTCACAGCCGTTGTCTGTCAGGTAGGGATATGAAAGCTTACGACGTTTGAAGGACATTGTGGTCCCACATACCTTGAAACTTAACTTGCACCACCATCCAAAAAACCGAATGATTATTTGGTATTTCGGCCCCTCAAACGTTGTATGACATTTTCTTGAAAATAGACAGACAAAATTTTCCCTTATATCTATTAGGGTTGCACAAACTTTGGCCTGCCTTCATCTGAAAGCTTGCTTGTCTAACTACAAGATATACACGTGAAGTACAATGGTTTATTACCGATGGTAATCGCCTTTGAACCTGTTTTTTTTAACAAGCAGAATTACCCTACAGTGCTTTCATTGGTTAATATCCTTAATTGAGTAAACCTATCCGAAAAAGTCGACCTCTGGAAGTCTTGATTTAGTGTGATTTATTATGTCGACCCTAGGACAAACCGCCGTCACTGAGGAGATTATTTTGTTCGCATTCCACCTCGGCCTTTGGTGCTTCAGTATTCGTTTCTTTATTGCACTTGCATAAAACGAGCTAGGCGTAGGTAGCCTTTATAAGGCACTTATCTTCGAAGGACTACGTTTCAAGAATGTACTTCAAAAAGCATAATTGATACTAGATTCTGGAAATTAGGCCTACCTGAACACTCATTCAACGTTTCGCACGTTGTTGTACATGGTGTTTATCGGACTGTACCACCTTGACTGTGAACTGTCAAGAAGTGAACCCCTAACGAACATTCACCTGTCCGAACTGAAGTACATATAACTGGCGCAAGAGAGGTTAGTCTGCAGCGTGATTACGCTGAACCTGATTAGGACGAAATGCAGCTCAACATCCCATCACAAATTTCATGTGCGTACTGACTTACTGGTGTGGTGAATGAATTTCTGGGGGATTCTCTATTACAGAATGAAACTGCTTTTAATAACTTATCATCATGAGACGTCCGGGTTATTCATATAAGCTTTGATAAAACTCAGTATGATGCGACAGAAATCATACATTTTCTGGTTGAAAGTCTTGAAGCGATGCGTCGTGGGTAACCCGAGATAGACTACGCCTTTGAAGGTTACTGTGTGAGCGAAAAAGAACCGGTAATCAGCGGAACCAGCGTAGAGTTTTTGTATTCTTTGCCACTTCTGACTGAACCCGATGATACTAAAAACACTAAGACCCATCAAATCAACTTGTAGGTTTCGTTTAATCTCTTTCTCGTTTTTGTTTGTTTAGTTTGCGCCCCGGGAGATCAGTTGCGTACGTTTATCTTATCATATGATCTCAGCACTGGACGATGTATGATAGCGTCACGCTATACAATTTAAGTGACAATTGACGTGTGCAATTTGTGACAGTCTGCGACAGCTGCTGAGTTTCACTTGGTTTATTCTGCGCGGGTCTCTACGCCCATGAGTGAAATCGCTTTCTAGAAATAACATACACCGTTGATTGCGTAATATATTTATTCTTCAGATAAACTAGCTAGCACCTGAGCAATATCATGAAGTAGAAGTATCATAAGTAAATCAGTCAGCAATAACCATAAAAAATGAATGATGCTTCGTCGATTGGCAGGCGATGTCATGAATCTTGGCTGATAGAAACAGTTGCCCTTAACGACCATCTACCTCGTGTGGGATACAGCTCCTCTTGGAAGACGGGGGTTTGTGCGCTTCGCTACATAACCGCGTTCTGCATTGCTGAGCTCTAGCGGCGCAATGGTGTTACCACTAATACAACATTCCAAAGAAAAAGGTGACAAAATCGATTCTTTATTTATGGTCACTTACTTTTTAGGATTGCGCGATAAATACTGCCAGACGGAACATTATTGTAGAGCCTTAGAGAGGATTGGTGTGTGTCTGATATGTTGAAGGTTGCTCTTTATCGGCAGTGAGACAACCGTGCCGTTGTGTTGTAAACATATCGCTTACCTTCTTTGGACGCCTAAGCAAACCAACAATATCCGTGCCGGTAACACAATACCAAAATGCATTTGAGGGAAAAGACGGCCTTGCTATCTAGTTAATGTGTTTCCTGAGAGGCAATTAGCTTCTCAGATACAACTCAAAGATATTTATTAGTGCCAAAGCTCCGCTGGCGTTTTGTATGTTTCCAGAGAGTTTGACGTTTTGCGAATTTTTTCTAACTTCTGAGAATAAGTACCATAATAATTCAATGTAAATGTGCATTGCGGAAAAAAGGCTGAAAAGACGATTCAGCGGGAATTGAGAGAAAACCAACAAATGAAGCAACCACTCAGCCTTAACAATATGCCGTAGAACATAGCTACCATGCATACAATTTCTCAGACTTGAGTGGAAGTAACAGTTTGTCGGAATCCATGATTTGTAAGGTGTGTTTAAACTTCGCAGCATTGCGGAAATCATTTTGCACCTGTTTAAGAATATGTTTAAAAGCAAATAAGTTTCACAAACTTGTGAATGTTTCCCCCCCCCCTTGTGGGTACACTAATCCAGTTAAAAGTACTTTGAAAAAACTGACTTGTTGCTGCTGAATGAGTATGTAAAATCGCGCACACCACACAGGATGGCCTCATCTGAAAAATCTCGTCCAGCAACAAAGAAAGTGAAGCAGCCACGAAAGAAGGAAATTCGTCTATTTTTATCCGCTTGCTGACTGTCATTTGAATGTCTTCCGGTCATGATTTGTTTTCCCTGTTTATGTGATGCAATCGTCGTAATGCTTGCTTAAAGTTTTTGCTTGGTGAACGCACTTCCAAGAAGCCTCTTTCAGTGGTTTTCGATGCTATCCCATACACTATAGTTGCGATTCCTGGTTATGTCCTGTGGTGTGTTTGTCCAGTGTCCAGTTAGCTTGGCTACTCGCAAGATACAAACACCAATTTGACATGCAGTTTGGTGGCATGAAAATAAAGCACAATATTGCTTATCTAGTGCGGTCGATATGGTGATCACATTTGAGCACACGCTAAAGGTCCGATAGTTTGGGTTTTTTCACTGAGCAGGGCATTACCAAATGCCAAAATACAAAATAAACGTACAGCTTCTACGATTACAAAGTATGTTCGATGGCCACGTATTTGCAAAACTTACTTTTGATCATGTTAATCACTCTTTATGTTACCCGGGTTGGCGTTAGCCTTACGTGCTTCACTATGGTGAATTGCGCACAATATCTGTCAAACGCGTACATACGTACTCTTTCACTAGAACGCCTCTTCCGTCATCTGGGTGTCTACAAAATAGTGTTGGCCAACTTGACCTGATGGGATGTAATGAGACATATGTTAGCTGTAAATGTAACTAACTGCTGTTGCATATCAGCTCTCACTAGTCAACCAGCCGCTAAAATAGTCAATCAGTAGCTAGCACAGGGTAGTACCATGTGAGAGTTACCGCTCCAAAAGGGAATTTGAACAGTGCTATTCCATCGACATTGAAAGATGTGCGTTCAATTTAGCTTCCTCTGGGAAGCGACTGGTGATGCTTATTTATCCACTTTTTAAAATCCTGGTCTGAAGGTTAACTACTCAGGCTGAAGTTCTACCAAAACGATTCAGACGTTACTCCGATTTCACTGACACCGGAAGGTGAGCCAAACACGACAAATCCGGTTCATTAGTGAAATCTGGGGGATTTTAATAAAAGCCTCCAGACAAGCAAACAAATTATGTGATGCACCTTGTTCGTTTGAGCCTTCAAAACGTAATTTTCGGGTAAAAGCTAGGTGAATGCTCTAAAGTTTTCTGATCTGTCGTTGAATCCATGAAGTCTATGAATAATGAATGATGAATATGATGCAAGGCGTTGCAATGAAAATCCCCATGCAGGTTTATGGAAAAACCTGTGGATGAAAAATTATCCTCGTGAGACTGTTACCAGATGCTGGTAGGTAGGTCGGATACGTTGCTTGCTTATTCGTCTGGTTTCCGAGAATTACGGTTGGATTGCCGAAGTGTAAAATTATTAGTGAAACGATGCTTGTTGAGATGGGCCGCAGTTTCCAAGTTTCCAAGTTTCGCATATTAGCCGCAGCCCCTTTGTGCCAGTTACGCCAGAATACCCTCAAACATCCTCCAGGTTTTCTCATCTTCAAACGGTTCAACATGAACGGTGCACAGGACCTTCGTCAAAAAGTGGGACTAGAGTCGAGCACCAGTGGGACATTCTGTGATATGGTAAGTCCGAATTTTTTGAAACCGCTTCTGAGAGATAGAATATGGAGTTGCTCGGTGCAACCAATTCATGGTCTTAGATTGCTACGGCCGATCTTTTGTATGAATATAAACTTCCACCAGTCAAACCTTTTTCAGTTAACGTATAATCAAAATCCGGTTAACGTCCGCTAGCAAACCAGGTCTCACACCTTCATCCTTTACTCTTATTCCTGCCATGACCATTTTTCTGCTTACGAAATTCAAAGACTCTATTCCAGCCTTCTTTGAAGATGCAAATGCATTGTCTCACAGAGGGCTATCCAACACATTCTCGTCTCTACGTGTCGGAAAAAAGTGCGAGTGCAACCCAATCCGCACTGTGCCAAAACCTTTTTGTCTTATGAGGGTGTTTTCTGAGGTTCATCCGGAGTATAACTTAATCTGGCGCCTGCATCACCATTCGGGTTTTCACCACTCACTCTATTCGGTTTGGGCTCGGTTAGCTACTTAGCTAACCTATTCTGTTCGCCTTAGATTATCCCTTCGACATCCTCTTGTCATGCTCTCACTTGACCACCCTGCAGCTACAAATTCTGGTGAACCAAATCTCACTCCAGAACTTGGTAAAGTCCTGCCTTGAGACAAACTTGGTTGCGTATCTTCAGTGTCTGAATTTTCGACTGTTGAATGGTTTGAAATCATCAAAACATATTTAATATCCCGACATCTGGATGCCTGGAACTTTGTTCAAGTGGACAGTTGTTTCCGAGGCAAATAGGGGGATTTGGTGACCCAATTACAGGTATCCTTATCTAATGGATTCTGGGCTGTTCGAAAGTTAAAGTTGTAAAATAAATAATTCCGTGTAGAATGCAACGTCTGAAAAAGGGAGGCAGCATACGCTGCCAAACTTTGTTCCACGTTTGTGACACATGAAATAACATTTCTATTAGGTCCAGCTTAAGAATCTTCTGAATTCCCAAGTTCGGAGAGTAGCAGCACTTCTGTCACCTGTCACCAAGAAGACAGCCCGTAGACATGTACGGAAAACCAATGACCAACGGTTTTCCACTAAGGAAAATATCAGTTGGCTGCTTGCAGTGCGTCGAAACGTGCATCACAACCTTTGCTGCGGTTAACAAATTCCTTGCTATTACACGACGTTTTTCGTTACAGGTGAATTCGCTCTTCGCCCAACAGATATTGTGGTATTCCGAGCATTATCAAGGGTGCAGACCCCTCGATGGGCTGACTGAAATACCCAGTTTAATTGCGAGCATCAATTTCGACTATGCAGGTCTGGGAGGGGTAAGCCTGCATGAATCATGTTTCCAAATGCTCTCCAACATCATGAATTCAATACTTCAAACGACTACCGACGGCAAGGTTGTTAACGAAACCGCGTTCAATGCACGAGGTACGTTTAACCCTTTCCTGTGTGCATGAGAGCCCATATTTTTATAGCAGAAAGCTCAGGATCCTTACCTAATTATAGTGTATGTCGCATATTTACGGCTTGGCTAGCAGCGTCTTATCGGTCTTATAGATTACAGTAATATTTTACCGACCATTTGTTTTGTTCACACTTTAAATTACTTTGATGCTAATTAATTTTACTCTAAGCTAAAGTCCAAAAGTGGCGTCTGTTTGTGTTAAAAGTATTAGTCAAGCATGTTCGCAGTAAGCCCGCCGGCCGATCTGTTGCAAGTCCATTTAGACGAGGGTTTCATTTCTCACATATCCGTACATCAAAATCATATTAGCGGGTCAACTGCGGCAAAGTCACCAGACGCCTTTACATAGTAGGAGAAACCATGCTTTGAGCAGACTATGCAGCTATGTGAAAGCGCTTGAAGTATACGTTGACCCAAATGTCGGGAGATAAAATTTCATACGCCTGTTGCAAGATATTATCAGGTTCAAACATGTTGGCATTACAAGTGGCACAGCCACTCGATCTCATTCATCACCGTCTCCACTTTTCAGCATACTATGACACCACAGAAGAGTCAGCGGGATCCGCCCATTAGCAAATCGTCACATTGGTGCTTGAAAACCTGGAGGTACTTTAATATACGGCTATGAACTTTGCCATCCTCAGGGTTCCAGTGCTCATCAGATGAGAAAATTAAGTCAATCTCTTATGACATCTTTTCGAAGACAAGTTTCCACGCTGAGATACCACCAGTTTGGCCGAGGATACAACAGAGCGGCCGTCGAGATGCAGGAATTGGGTTCGAATCATGGAACTTAGTGCATTCACGCAATGACCACTGAGATATACCAATTTCACATCTCAAGCAGTTGCTTGTTATACGTAACAGTCATGCTGACATAGCCACATAATGCGAATAAAATCACCCAACACTTCGGGTACTGGTTGCTATCCATAAAACCTGTGCTTAGTAAGTAATACCGGGCAATGTACGAATTGATATCTGAAAAACTTCTCCTGTACAAAATATTTGGGCTTAAATTACCAATGGACATTAATTCTGCGAAAGGAACAATCTTAGTCCGTATACACACTGGCATCCAGAAGTCCATTTTGTAACGTGGTCTACAGGCGGATGAAGCGTCATATTTGTGCAGTGTCAGGCAGATGGGATAAAAATAATTGTTTACGTTGCAACATTTCGCCTCTGGCATTCAAAAATGCTCAGACATTCTCCAACACTTTCTCCGTCTATTGACTGACAAAGCTGTCTCCAGTGCATAAAATGTTCTGGCGAATACCCTTCGTAATCTTCGAATGACGGCTAGGAGTTATAGTATACTGTGCTTTGTACCTGCATTATTCACCTTGGAGGTTTTGCTGTAGAGGAATTTACCAGAGATGATTCCAGAAGGCCATTTCGCTAAAACATATATCCCGAAAGGTACAATTCTTCAGGCAGTGTTCACTGAGGAAGTTTTAACCGCTTCAGCGTTCAGTCAGTGAATAATGTTCCTTTTGTAGTTCGGAGGACGAACATGGTCAAATGCATGAAGGGTTCAGTCAACGGTGCAAAGAATGTGTTTTGACCGGTTTTGCGTCCCTGTTAGAAACACCTCAATGGCAGTTCATCGTCTTGTTTGAATTTACAAATGTAGGATGCATAATTCGGCCCAACTTGCATGGATCCAAAACGATACAAAGCGTCGCACACCAACATGGTGTTTTAGAGATGTTAGAGTGTTGGCCAGTACTGACCTTTCATGTTTGGACGTGAACAAATCTCCAAAGTTTCGGCTAGGTGGACGTCAAACCATCACACCAACTATTCTTCTGTGAAATAGTCTTTTGAAAAAAAGCTTAGAATACTTAAAATCAGTTATTACCGTATTTCCAACAAAATCGCGCGTATTGCACAGCAATGGAAGGACAAACACACTATAAAGTCAATGCAATGTTTACAGACAACACGTGTTTGGCTAAAATGTTTAGATCTTTTCAAATTTTATCACATGGATCATATTTGGTATATCTGACTGCAGTAGATCTGACATACTGCATAAACCTCTTCTGAAATTTGATGACGGGCGCTAAGGGACACCTGTATTAAGTAATTACTGAAGAACACATAAACAGGAGATATTCGCCCTATAGGCTTGAGATGCCTGTAGTGTTTTAACTTGACAGGGTTTTCGACCTCCGTTTCTTCAAGACAGTTACCTAACTGTGTCTCAGAAGTTAGGCAAAAACAAGTCTACCAGAATTAGTGTTTGTAACCACTGTACTAATAAAACCATCACCAAACGGGCACTTCTTACGTCATGCGTTTTGATCGGTAATTTCTCCCGGAAACCTGGCACAGCAGAACGCGGTGAATTTTGTCCTCCTATGAAAACATCGTTCAGTCAAAAAGCACCAAAGCTACTCCAGTTCTGACAAGAAGAGCAGGCATCTTTTGAAAACGCCTTAAAACATTCAACATTCTTGTTTTTAAAAAACCGACAATGCTGAAGCATGTGGAAACGAGGAAAACCCTTGCTTTTTATCGTCACAAGTTTCAAGAACAGAATAATGTTGGAGATTTTTTCGTGTAAGATAGTTTCTTTAGTTTTCAGAGTATCTCAAATCACTGGTGAAGTGTTGAGCACACACAAATAAATGGCCATTAATCCCGATTTTCTAACGGATACTATGTCTAGCTTGAGTAGGGTTGGACGACTGACCTATGATGATTTCAGGTGTCAGCCACCAGTCAAGCAACGATGTGCAAGGTGCATAATTAAGCATAATTAATTAGAATGAGCCCACCACCGGCAGGCTTATTTTACTAAATCCCTGCTAGGATGACCATATTGCATATCATGAGCATGTTGAACTCCTCAAAATCTAGGGACTATTTTCCATTCTGGTGCTCCAAATTAGTGAATTACTCAAAAGAGTGAAGATGACTTAACAAATTTTAACACTAGAATATAGGCTGGAAAATGGTATGTTGGTTGTTTGGTTGGCTGGTAGGTCTGGGATGAGTTGTCAGCTGATTTGTTCTCAAACTTCTCATCACCATATGAAAACGGTTTCGGTTGGTCTTTTTGTGCGGCGACCAAAAAATGGAAGTCCGCTGCTGCGAAGAATAATTTTCCGTGTCACTTGATCGTTAGGGCCTTGATTTGATTTGATAAGCAGTGAAACGGGACTAGTGGCGGTTGTGTTGGTGAGTTGGCTCAAATCACCTTTACAGTATACTAGCTACATATTTCTGCCTTCGATTGAGCACAACGGACTGATTGTGTCAGCCAGCCATTATTCAAATACTTCTTCACGCAAAGCACTTCATCATCGCCACAGGGGCTCAATCCACCTTTGGTCGTTTAAAGAGGGATGCCGCACTGCTCCGACGTGAAGATATGGACAAGTTTCAAGGAAGTTACACATAATTCTGCTTCCCTCTTAGCCATGACACATGAGGTATGCGAGGGGACAATCTGACGGCCGATTTTTTCTAACAACATCCAGCCATTGCTATACGGACGGATGTGATTTTCGTGAAATATGATTGGGCAGGATAAACGGCATCCACGTAAACAGCTTTGCTTCAGTGGGATTGATCACTTAGACAGAGAAGAGCAGGAAATTCGACCTTGCAACTTACATGTTCAGTGTTGTAAACTTATGTTGTGTATACCTGACGGCTAGTCAGATCCGACAGTATGATCAGTACCGGGCAACTTTGCTGCTATAATCGAGATGGAATATTCGACACTACACAATTAAAATGTGCATCAAACATACTCCGGGATGTTTACAAACCGAAGTATTGGAGGCTTTACGTCTAAACCAGTTGCCTCCAAGCCCGCTAAGGACTACGACCAAAAACCTTTGTCTCTAGGCTGTCTGTTTTACTCATGGTATGAGAACGTTATACGATTGGATGTGGAATAGTGCACATTTAGTTGAAATAGTGTGTTTATCGCCACCATATGATTTTACTTTGCAGTGGCGGGAATTCCTAATCCTATTCAAGTTCTCGATCCAAGTTGGTTGGAGTCGCATCGTCGTAAGTTACAGTGCTACCGACAAGTGCACCCAGATATGATGGACGTTAAGTATACCGCTAATATATTTTTCTTCCTACTATCTTCAGAGAATCCATTCAAGTACAACCCAATCTGCTTTGACCTCAAATGGACAAGAGTATATCGTAGGTGTTTTAATTTAATGAACTGTTTTGATCTGCCGAGGACTTCATGATTTTATGACTATTCAGTTCTGAAAATCATACGCTACCATATCAACGCGAATCTTTATTCTCTCGGACGGTGCTCATTTAATTTAAACATGAGCATCCCAATAACTATGAGGATCTCTCAATATAGCGTTCTACTCAAGGAAACAATTGTTAATGAGCGAAACCAAAGAAAAATTGAACTCACCAATAGAAACACTTTCACGCTGACGTTAGTCCCATAAACACTTGTGTATTACGTTTCCTTTCAGTCACAATGTACGTTGTTTGAACCCTCCCACCGAGAGAACGTCATTATGCACGGGTTGGATAGCTTTCCTCGTTGTGGGCTATTCTGTCTGCGGACTAGATACTGCTCAGCACCTGGTTACTCAGTGATATGCTAAAGACGTATTGTCTCACGATCTTAGCACACCTCGTGCCTTATCGTATTTCTTTAATGACCTCTATGTGTAGTTGAGTAGCAGGCCCCATTTACCAAGGTCAATCTCTATGTAATATGCATAACAGAACGTTCCGGACTCTACTTCCTCGTTGTTCAAGACTGTGGACTAAACGTTAGCCAGAAAATGGCACTACCGTTGCCCATCGATAAAAATGGCTGCCGAATATAAGGCCTTTATAACGGGTAATATAGCGCTCCTTCTCAACCCAAACAAAAATACTTCTAATCGGTTTCTAGATAATGGCCTTGAAGTGTACTTTTCCGACAAACCTACCGTTCTTTCTCCTTAAAATTTCCTATCCAGGTCTTGTCAGAGTGTAGTTTCTCTTAGTAAATTGGGCCAACGAAAGAAACTTGCATTCAGGCATCTTACTTCTGCCATTTACTGGCTCTGAAGCACATCTGCAAGCTGTCGTATTATCGCGATATGGAAAATAAGATTATCTTCACTGTATTCAACAGTCTTCAAGAACAACGAACACTGCTCTTGAAGTTGCAGAACCGCTCAGGGAGGAGAACATTCAGTTTACTCGATCAAATCGGGAACTGTAGTCAAATACCGTAACCGATGGCGGAACTTTCGTACTTCTTATAACCTGACTGTGAACATATTCCGTAAGGTGACTTATCATAAGGAAAAACAGCACGTTTCATTTAGCGACAAGTTGCCTGAATAAAGATCATGCCCAGACAAACGAGAAAAACCCCTTCCTGAGATGTTATTCTTTCAACCAATCATCGCATTCTTGTTTTTACAAATACGTATTAGAGAGCAATAATAAAGCTTGTGGCATATTTGAATATGTATGTGGAACACGATCGTGGACCCCCAGCCCCAATCCTGGAGAGCTGACCACAATCTCATTGTGACTTAGCATCCACCTAGTGGCTTACCATTTGCCGGGCAAGTAAACTAGTAATTCGAGGTTGATTACACTGGCTATCAACATCCGTGTGTCATTTTATGCTCAAATGACCACTTTGAGACCTGGGCAGTGTACTCAACTCTTCACGGGGAGTCAGCTTTCTGTTCAGTTTGATAGGCAACAATCAAGCGTAAATAATACCTTTGTAACGTCACTTGTATAATTTAAAGCTGTACTATTAGTCTAAATTTAAAAGACTACTTTTATTCGTCCGGTTTCCGTTAGAAACTAATGTTTACGTTCCCAAAACTCACGAACTAACGAGCAGTTTTATTTAAGCGCATTTTGTGTTGCTCAAATATACCCGTCCAAATGAGTGGTGGATAAAATTCTTCTTAATCCAATCATTATCTGTCTCAAGTCGCTTACGACGTTAACGCTGACTATTTCACCTACACCATCGATTTTTCCGTCTCTACACGTTGTTTGAAATAGTTGATTTGATATATTGACCAGACGTTGAAGGTATTTTTTTACTGCATTTCGCAAGACCCGTGAACCGATTTTGAAACTGAATAGGCAACATTTTTTGATTGTTTTTCTCTTTATCCTACTGGATGTCAGTGTTTAATCTTCGTCAACAAATAGCCTAAAACTGACAATTTGTGACAATGAAGCTTATCTATTTACCAACCGAAGGAAATCACTCTTCGCATTTGGAAGAATGTTCTCGTTTAATTTGTAGCGAACGAAGGCCTGTGCTTGTATTCGGAAAACGAGCGACATCAAATTGGTAAGCTATATTACTCTAGAGAATGACGCTGAAATTAAGTGGAATTATATTCATATGGCTTGAACCTGTTAAAATCAGCAGGCGTCAACTCAGGAATTTATCGGTATCAGCAGACGTGAAAGTCAAGCTTGACTAATTATGCGGTATCGGTGCGTCTCTCTCAGTTGGTTAAAGAATACATTTTTGTAGTGCAATAAAACATAGCCACTATGGTGTCAGTTGATGTTTGACCGTGCGTATATTTGACGTTTTTTGTGTGTTTCATTTTCTGATGACCAATCTGGAATGTTACCTCAAAAATCAACGTCGTACCAGCACAATGTTTAATTGACGGGTTTCGATTCATCCGTTGCAAAATGTGTGCGTGGAATGACGACTTGATAACAACTAAATTTGTTGATTACACAGTCGGCCAACTAAAAAAATTATTCTCATCCATCACAAAACTACAGGCATGTGCATGTCATTAAAAAATCTTGATGGTTCTATCACAGGCTCTTAAGCGTGCTAATATCTGTGGTCACAATGAATCGCACCAGTCCTATCCAACACACTATGGTGTGATCCAGTAAGAGTCTTTAAACTGAAGCAGAAGTGTCTGGCATGACAGAATTACAGGTTATTAAACCGCCACTAGCGTAAAACTACGTAGCGAGATATCGCTTCAGGATAGTGATTTGAATGAGCAAATTTTCCAACAGACATTTTGCAGTGAATTGATATGAATCAGTATATTCACTTGCAATAAGATTTTCCAGTAAGTTGAAAAAATCGATGTATAATAAGGCTTTTTCTATAACTACTCCTCCAATAAACCCGGATAGAAAATCTAGAGTACCAGATCTCTGAGGTAGTTTGGATAGTTCGGGGACGGATAGGCGTTCATTAGAAGATTGATGGATGAGCACTGGCTGATTAGACGCACCTGCTCAAAATCAGTGGTGAGCAAATATCATGGGATCTCATACAAACACATAGTCCGATAAGGTGTTACTATATTTATGATTCATGTGCGTTTATTTGCCTTTTATCAGATGAGTGCTGGTCCGTTGGTGGAGCTAGAAATATGTTTTAAATTATTTTGTTTTCATCATATGGGATATAGTGATAGCATGGGCTTTGTTGAAACGCCCACTGAATACTTTTTTCCTTATATACTGAGGATGGAAAGTTTACAAATCGATAACGGGATTTGGGGAGCATTTGAGTTACTACTGATGTACAGTATTAATCCAAACTGAAATAACCGGTCAGTTAGGTGCGCTTTGAGCTCTAGACTTTTAAGCTTACATTACAAATAAATTCATTTTGAAACACCTAAACCGCAAAAAGCGATGGTGGTAACTGTTTTCATTTTAAGCCAATCGGAGAAACGTTTGGAAAAGTTTTCAATCACACTAATGATCAGCCGCCCGGTGCATAAAAGTTGGGCGTTTTGCTATTGGCCTAAAATTTCTCGGGTTTAGTAGTCCCTGAGCCTCCTGAGATGTGAATTGTTTATCACTCCCAAGAAGGCTATACCAGCTGAAAATTAAAGCTCGGTTTTTCAGCATAGCTTCACTGAGAGGAAGATATCTCTTAAGGAATTAACCGAACGATTACTGCTACTATTAGCTTGACATACACAGTCCAAAATAAAGACTACTGATGGTTCCCCCTTCTTGTTGAGTAAAACATTTGAGGCTTCAAAGCACGCCACGTTGTTGATATGGAGTGTATGACTGATTCTATTTAGTCTATCAATCATAATCAGCATTTTTCTGCCCTGCGTCACATGAATAAAAGGCAAAATCTTTATATATCTTTATCTTTATCTTTATATCTTTTATATACACGCTCACTGGAACAAAGTCCGCAGTTCACAGCGATCACAACAGTTGCTTGCACTTTACTAGTTAAATTCTCTCGCATTTCCGGACAGTTTTTGTCACACAAACTAAAAACAAATATATATATGGCATCGTGCAAATTCTCTGTCTACAAGAAGATTTTCCTCCAAAAAACGTAGTTTTACGGGGGTACCATAATATTCATCCCCTACCCCAGAAATCAGTTAAAAAGCAGCAGCTTCACGGTGTTTACTCGTCATCCAGTAATGTGAACGCAAAAGGGTGTTGGATAATGATCCCACGAACAGGAAACGACACGCAGACGCATCTGAAACTTACGGCCTCAACTTGTTAGGTTAGTTTTCATCCCACTCAGGTAAGTAGATCAGTCTATGCATCTATTCAACTACGGCAAACAAGTAAGCTGAATGCATATCTTAATTTAGTCTGTTCAGCACCTAAACTAAAATGAATTTTTACTCTAGATGGTTGAGTTTATTATCGAAAGCTGACGGCTAATTGCTTATTATCCATTAGTCAAAGTCGTGAAGCTGTGAAACAGAATCAAGAATTCATACACGTATTTGGGTAACACAAGCTGCTGTATTTCGTTGATTATTCAGTATAAACGGCTTCCTGAATTCTACTCTCCCGTCTCACACAGAATAGAATCACAACACAACTTCCTGGATTGAAACGATGAGTTTCTGGAAGTTGTGGTGTTCAATGTACCAACAAAAGTGGGACGCATTCGAGTTTTCATCCCAATTTCACGTGGCTAATGACAAAGCCCAAAATCGAATGAAAATTTTTTAACATTTCGAGTTATATGTCATTTATAGGTGCAAACTGAAGTCGACAACAAATCCATTCTACCCACACTTCCCCCTGTACACAAGATAATAAACTGGGCCTATAGCATAAATACCGACTGTTGTGAAGCAGCGTAGACACGTCCTATGCTATGAGATTAATTCGTCTACATCAAACATAGATTTTGATATTTTTCAAAGCGTCGTCCCACATTATCTGTTTTAGGACATCTATCGACTTTTATTCCCTTATAGAGGTTCAGGTCTCTGGTCAAATAATGGACCCCATTAGATGGAACTTTGAACCGGAACGTTTTTCGCCATATTACGAACAGGCACGGACATATACAGCTCAATCGGTGAGTAATTTTTGTAGCGAACTTTTGATTCTCATCCATATCCCCAGGTTTGTTATGACAAAATTATGCTTCGCAGTTGCAGCTAGTTTGACTCTTCCGTGAAAGTTCCAAAATATAGCATCCCCCAAAGGATTTTTTTCATAGAATGAGTTAATACAACTCGTGCGACTTTCATTCCGAAATACTGACTACTGTAATAAGAAAGATGTTTGTTTGTGTGTTGGTGATACTTGGAATTGTTGATGTCATCGAGTGCTAAGTAATGTGTTTACACATCACTGCAACCACATTACGTAACGTTTTTTTTTCTCTAAAGGATGTGTGCTACATGGTGCCATCGTATGCATTTGTATCCGTTATTCACGGTTTTCCAACTAATCCTGGAAACTCCGTTATTCAACCGGCTGACTCCAGAGGCTGCCAGTGTGTCAGTTATCCATTTCCAAGGTTGCGCCATCGTGGGCGACCCATTCCGGATCATTCTAGCCAACAGAAATCGTTTCAAAACCGGGTGTAGAAATTTCCCGCCATTGAAACTATTCATCGTTGTGATTTGTTCAAGTTTTGTTTTATTTCCATTTTGATTTTTCAGTCACAACTACACCTCAGTTCTCAGGATAGCTTAGGGGAATCCAGCGTGCCTCTTAGGTCAGAAGGAATTAGTTTGTCCTACATTCATAATAACCGGAGCACAAATCCAGAAATGAACAAGAATATTTGCCAATCATGGGCACCAAAGGAAAGGGATATGAGTGCCTGACCTGTAGTATAGGATAGAGGAAAGAATAAGGGAATTGCAGTAATATGGATATAAGCAAAACTGGTAGTAAATAAGGCCCACATTTGAGTGTTCTGCAACAATCCAATCTGTATCCCGTGGTCAAAATATTTTGTTAGGCCTGGTCTGCAGGTGTCGGGTAAACGGATTTTCCTCAGTTTTATCCAGGTATAGACTACTGTTGTCAAGCAATCACGTAGAAAAAACTAAATTGCATGTCACGAAGTAACGAAGCACAAACGTTTCGATAAACATCTGAAAACCCTAAAATCCATCACACGCAATTTAAAATAAAGGCAAACGAACAACCCCTCGATCATTTGAGTTTTTTAAAAGATGGTAACCGCGTTAGAAGCGAGTGAACCCTGTTAGTTATTGCCCAACTTCAGTCCACTCGGTTAAACATACCAAAATGCTAATGAAGACGCACTTGTTATATACCTTAACTTCAGCTGTCCAAGTCGCTTGGCAATATGGGGCTGCTGGACTCTGCATTAACCATGAAACCGGAGGCCTTCCGCATCCAAGATGAACTTCGCGGACTTGTGGGCGACGTCCGTTTGCTATTCGATTTGTTCAGTTTGGGTATCGAACTGAAAACAAAAGAACCGCGAATAATTTTGAGCACACTCAAATCAAGGATGCAAATGCCCGAAAAAATTAACGAAGCTTACATCTTCCATGTTACTGGTAAGTCACCGTGGTTTTTGTGCGAAAAAATCGGTGCGAAGCTTAAGTACAAATAAACTATTTTGTGAGTTAGGATTTATAACAACCGGTGACCTAGTCAACTGTACTTTTATCGATACATTTTTTAAAGTTGAGTTACAGGGAGAAGTACTCAGATGAAATAAAACATAATTTTGTGAGAAATAATGGTCCTTACTTGAAATCTTTCATCAATGAGACAAAAGTCCAAAAAATGTACACTAGATACACACAAGTCCTGAGCTTGTCATTCATAAGACAGTTCGAATATCCTTCTAGTTCAAGTGCTGAAGACCGATGCCTTCGACGTTCTGTTTTCAAAGCACCAGTTCACTATTCAGCCAAATTAGACTACATGCACTAGATCAAAAGTGCACCTTACGTTACGTGTAGACACATTTATTTAAATACGTTTCCGTTGCATTTCGCTTAAGAAGTGGAAAACGTCGAGGGATCAGAACCCACCGTCTCAAAATTAAATAAGCATTGGTCTCATTCACCGCCGGTTTCTGTCGACACATTCACAACCACATAAATCAAATATATCTATATATGCTGGAATAAATTACCTCTAATATAACAATTTCCAGCTTGTCTCGCGGCTGTTCTTCCGAATGAGAGATACCAAAATTGCCAAACCTTTTGTACTTCGATTTCGCCATGCTCCACCTCTTATTCCATAGCCTTTACCATTTGAATTTTATCACGTGTCCTTTGAACTTACCGAAGAAAGCTAAAAGCATTTTTCCATCTGATTTTTCTTTCTCCTGGGTTATAAATCTTATTTACTGATGCGGTAATATCCAACAAAACACTTTTTTATCATTTGATACGAAATTGGCCTGCGCATCTCTATTTGATGCCATTTGCGACGTATTTGCTTTGCCCGTCGAGGGAGCTTTCGTTACTGTAGTCCGGAAAACTTTCTGAATTGCGAGAAATTGAGACAACGCAGACCGTTTATTATCCAGCTTATCCAGTTCAAGTGAGGTTAAAATGGTAATGGGGCTGACAATGCTGAAGGAAACATCCCAGTGTGTAACGTCGCTAACTGTTGCTGAATGATAAATGTCATGTTCTATTCAAGTCGGATCACAGATTCGTTTCTAACTCACTGCTCAATTAACTACCCTGTTGTGAAAGTAGTGAATAGCGCTACAGCTGATGAAAATGCCTTTATTTCACCCTTTCTAAGATGCACATACAACACTTTCAAAGGTGACTTGCGGCGTACCCCTGCCGAGGACGAAAACCCGTGAGTGAAAACAGTCACAAAGTTCATTTTCCTTTCTCATTTATTAGCAAAACTCCTAGTTTTTGGCATCTCAGGCACCAGGTGTCCGTTGGCTTTTACATTTCGATTGTTACTAGCATCCCTATATAGGTGAAACGGAATAACGATATTCCCTCTTAACTTGCACAACTCCATTTTTGACTGCTACACTCCCAAACTTCTCTCGCTAAGCACATGAAAGCAGACCGCGCGCTGGACGAATACTAACGAAGCAAGTGATCGCTGAAACAACGGCCAAAACTAAATCAAATCCTTTGTTTTTAAAGAAAAACAGAACCAAATCTCAGCACCTTTGAAATGGTACTTTGGTCCGTATGATAATTGCAGCAGTTCATTCGTTATTACTTTAGCTGGTGTGGAACAGAAATATGATTAGTGTGGCTGAACTCCAAACAGTAAACGGACATAGTTTTCGAAAAATTTGGTGACACTCAGTAGATTTATTGCTGGGCAGTTTGTTTTGGCCGTAGATCGCGAGAAAGAATTAATGGAACCCGTTACAGTTGCCTTACGAGCGAGTTGGCGGACGTGTGAAGGCTAATCTTCTGCGCATTGCGTACCATAAAAGTGCATATAGAGCGAAATTGACGATTATCCGTCTGTGATAAAGGATCACAAAATGACAAACATAACGCGTTCACGGCTTGACTAGAATATTTACCGAACTAACGGTAAAGTTTATTTCAGTTAACATGGATCATATTTGCATTTATTCGTGGTATCCCACGCACATGCCCAGTACGTTCACTCCTCTAGAGAAGCAAGTTCACATGTTTTCCGCGAGGTATGAATATCCATGTAGGAGGACGGACGTTTTAATGCCCTCACCCACATTTGAATTCAATTCTCCCTTAGAATTAGAAAATAAGGTACCAACAATAGTATTTGGTTTTCAAAACAAACTCCAGCACTGAGCTAAACGTTTATTTTTCAGAGGGAGAAAATGAATCTTCTCATCCTTTGACCGGTGCGTTAAACGGTTTGTCAGACGCTGTAAAAAGACTTCAGTTAATCTGAAAAAATAGTAGTGAAAATAGCTATGACTGTAAACTTGACCACACTTCATTCTTATACGTCTTTGCGGCAAATGTCTCTGTATTTTTAGATTCGTGTAACATTCATACTTAGCCTATATCATATTGTGCAACACAATCTATATTTTCACTATGCGTCTTATGATAGTTGTGGTGGCGCAGTATCCCACTGAACACCGCTTTGTTCAACACGACTGCTGATCGATCGCTCTCACCTGTCACGGTGAAATATCAAGCAGTACACTTGAACCATACCAGTTGACAAGAATTATTATAACTTTTTAAGGTCACGCATTCCGCTTAACATACGCTTTACTAATTTTGTGAATCCACTTGCTTTCTAGTAGCGGATTTAACCACAATAGCGAACTTATATTTTTGAGCCGTGACATTGAACTTCGTGCATAAAACGTGTCATACATTCTTCAATGCTTCAACAAAACTTGAGCAACTCAAAACGGTATTCTTCCTAAGAGGTATTCATTTATTGCCTCATTTGGTATTTATCAATTGCAGGCTTGTATAGGCCGCATATACCTCCTTGTGAGTTTTGTTTCTGAAAACGTCTAACTTATGTTTTATTATGGATGTTCATGTCCTTGTTGTGAGTACGGTTCTTCTCACGACGGGATAATTTTGCACTCGAATCTAGGGGCGCGAAATCTTGCGGTGACGTGAACCAGCCTGAAAAGTCCATGTAGTTAGATTGATCAACGTCGTTTTTAACCCACTTTTATTTTCTGTGCTGTTATAAACCTCGGATTATAGTGCCACTGTTGTTTTAACGAATATACCTAGCCAACGAATTCACTAATAACTCATGCCACACAAAGCACTGATAAATGAACAAGTCGCTAAAGTTATTTTCATTTTTCACACTGCGTATTTTTTATCAAATGCACTTGAGTACGAATTGAAAAAGTTACAACCCAGGACAATTGCAACGTGCATATAAGCTGCATTCGCTTTATAACGTCAGCTTTTATCTCGGTTAGGGACAGGACGGGATCAATGGAGCCTTTCAGGCAGTGCAATACCTGTTTTGTTTTCCATCCTAAAATCCGTTCAGTCTTATGTCGTACACAAACATTGAAGTGCAATTACATGAAGAGAGTCGTGGCTTTGCAAACCGAGCTGATTTTAACAGATACCCAAATAGAACTAAATTTGCAGTTTCCTGGTTTTCAATATTCCCCAGCGGAATGTGGTAAAGCACTCCAGTTCAAACTTAAATTGTTATGGACATTGTGAATGCTGTCAGCGCGCTTCACCGTACTGTGTCAAACTCGTGGAACACACTCAGTTTATATTGCTCACCGTTTAAAATCGCACGTTGGCCTTTTGGCTTGTTGTTTGATTCGTGAGAGGAATATGAATTAGTCAAACTTTAAGCCAAATTACGAGGCTATAGAATAACAAACTGCATTTTGCAGTATATTTTGCTGAGCCAGGGTTTAATGAAGTGACTTACAGGTAGAAACTAAAACTCGTAATTCCTGTCAGCTTAAGATAGTGACATTTGTGAAAAAGCCCGCCGATTAATGTGCGCTGACTGTTATCTTGAATGATGAGAATAATTTTCATGTGAAACTCTGGAGCTATCGTGCGACATTCTTTTGCATACATTGTCGTGTTTTTCTAAACTCGTCGAGCTTTGACAGGTTTGGCAAAGTGACCTCCCAGTTTGCTACGTACCCTCATCTAGAGACCTTCACATACATTCCTCCGGCAGATCTCATCTCCATGCTTGCATTATGAAGATTTACTCTGAGTACGACAAAACGATTCCGAGGCATCATTCAGATACGACAAATGTTTCGGCTCAAAAAAGTTTGAAAATCTTTTCCGAACTTTCTCCTCAAGCCCCTACAACTTTAGTTGCACCAAGTAGTTACATTAAAGGATGCACCTACGGATTTTGACGTACCTTTATTTCCCCCTAAAAATAAGCATCAGTTATTGTCAGTAATCGAACGTTTGTCCATAATGCGCTTATAACACTGCTCTACCCACTTTAGATTCAGACACCCTGCGTAGATTTACAAACGGAACCACAGTAATTTCCCAACTAACTGTGGGCAATAATTTTATTGAAACCAGGAAGAACAAATATTGGATCGGTTCTCAGTTGTGCAGGTGGCGCTGGGTTAAACAACTGTTGCATTAACAGAGAGAGCTTTAAACTCCTGAAATTCCTTTCGCACGAATAATCTTTACCCGCAAATTAATAGTTGGGAAGCTTGTATTATCTTACTAGTGCAAACAAACCAGACCATGATGCAGTTTGTATCATGGACCCACTCAAACTGTAGGGCACATTGATTGTCTTACATGGGGTTCTGTGATTACCTGACGAAATATTTTGAGCACTCTTATTTGCGGGGTCAAAAAACATATGTAAATTTGGACTATCAAGAGCTGACCAGACTACTCAGACAAGGAATATAAGAGGGGGAACAAATACTATCGTTTCATTTAAAGTTGAGTCAAACGATACGCAAGAAAATGTACATTTTAACCCAATGTTCATACCCCATATTGGACATTCATTTGTTGGTGCAAGAGGTCAAAATTGTTGCACCCCAGTGCTCTTAGTGACCTCGTAACTGACACTTTTACTGGAGCTGTGGATACTCGGTGGTTAGGACGCACA